TATCCATTAATCATTCCTATAATTAATAATTTTGTTAAAAATTTTAAGGATATTGATAAAAATCAAACACAGAGAGAGAGAGAAGAAGAAAAAGAGAGAATATTTCAAATTATTAAAAATGAATTCAAATTTTAATTCCTTTAACATTAAGCTAAACTATCCATTAATCAGTTTAATAACTAATGGGGTAATCATGATTTCAAACAATAAAATTTAAATTCAATTTCTGAAGTAATTTGAAAATTATATTTCAAAAAATTTCGAATATATTTATAAATTTAATTTAAAATGATATATTGAAAATGAATGAAATTTCAATTCTTTTGATCATTTTTAACAATAAAAACAAAACCTTTTCAAACCATCCACTAATTAATCTCATATGATAGATTTCAAATTACAAAATTCAATTTAATTTTCGAAACATAATTTAAAAATTATATTTCAAAAAATTCCGAATATATTTATAAAATTCAATTTAAAATAATAAAAGAAACAATAAATAGAACAATTGTCTTCTTTTTTTTTTGATAACTTTTAATAATAAAAAAGGTAACCTGTTCAACAGGTCCATGTGCTTGGAAAAGTATCCGTCTTCCTAATAATTCAGCAAATATACAACCAACTGACCATACATCTACAGCTCCTGTATATGTTCGTGCACCCATTAATAATTCCGGAGAACGATAATACTGTGTTACAACCTATAAATTTAAATTAATTAATTAGTTGTTTTAATTTCTTATGTGGAAAAAAAGAAAAAAACGAAAAACTAAAAAATAGTATAACTGAGAACAAATAAATTTTGAAATCAAATTGAATTTGAATTAAATCAAATCCAATTTGAATATCATAGAAATTGTTTGGTAATTAATTTAAAATTAATAATTAATTGATCGTTTTTATTTTCTCACCAAAAAAAAAAAAACTAAAAAATAGTATAACTAAGAACAAATAAATTTTGAAATTAAATTGAATTTGAATTAAATTTCGCATGAGAAAAAAATATCGGATATATTTATAAATTTAATTTAAAATGATAAAAGGAAGAAATTGAATTTGTATATCACAAAAAATGTTTGACAATTTTTATAAAAAATTGTGATATAAGTTCCATTGAAATTTAATTTTTGAATTTTTCAGTATTTAATGCAAAATTTTTACACTTGAAATGCATTACTTACTTCATGAGTCATAGCTAACTGTTCATGTGGATCCCACATCCTTGCTAATCCAAAATCACAAATCTGAAACAGAAACATTTCAGTTACCGGATAAAGTAATTAGTAAGTTACCGGATAAGGTAATTAGTACTAATTATACGAATTAATACTAGTTAATCTGCTTATCTTGAGATAAGAATAATTATCTTAAGTAAATTATACTGTCCTTCATTATCAATAATATTACATGTTACCTGTGCTTAATGATTACTTAACGACAGATATACTTATTAGTGATTTTCTAATTAAGAATATTTCTTATTTGCTATTCATTTTATATCCTGTGTAGCTAATAAATTCTTCAATTTCACAACGATCTTTCAAAAATTTGCATAAATTTACTCATTACAAATAAATCAATTACCTTCAAAATGCAATTACTGTTCACTAGCAAATTGCCTGGCTTGATATCACGATGTAAAATATTTGCTGAATGTAGATATTTTAATCCTAAAAACATTAAATTCGAAATTTGAAATTAAAATTTTAATTTGAAATATTAATTTAAAAGGTGTGGTTTATTTTAAATTGAATCTACAATTCTTGCAACATATATTAACTTCTATAAGAGATACTAATGCATCTTTTCTAAGCATGTTCTAAAAGGTATTATTTAATTGGGAAGATTTTAATGCTAATATCCAACTGTATTAATACATTAGGATCGTTATAAAACTAATTAATCTAATTAATAGAGCATTAAAACTTGTTTTAACATAAACTCCTCAATGTTAAAATATTAGCTGAAAAATAAATTCGTAAAAACTTAACTTAAAAACTAACCTCTTAAAATTTGATAAACGAATATTTTTACATGATCAGTGGTAAGTGGTTGTGGTGAGACAATAATTTTATGCAAATCACTTTGCATTAATTCTGTTAAAACATAACTGAAAAAAAAAATCATAATAAAATTTTCAATTTTCTTCAAATTTTTCGTCAGAAATTGAACAAATAAAAAAGTAACATTTCCAAAAATGATCCAATCTGATCATCCTTCCAAATATTCTTCTGTCACACTTTGTCATATTTCACCTATCTACAAATGCTAGCATATCGTTTATTATTTCCACCTGTTACAGTAATTAATAATGTAATTGTTTTAGAGTAATTAAAAAGGAAAAACTTACAGTTCTTGAAAAAAATGAGGATTCTGCGGTTGTATAACATCGATCATACACAATACCTTTAATTTATTAGATTATTTTTTTTTATTAAATTTAAAAAATAGAAATAATTCGTAAGATTAGAATCACAATTACAAACTATCATCATTATTATGATAATTAACATGATTATAAGCATAAAAATGAAATGCTAATCATAAAAGAAATACAAATAACTTTGATTAAGGTCCTATTATCTCAAAGGTTTTCTTTTTTTCTTTTCTTTTAATTTTTCAAAATTTCAAATATTACTATTACTATTTAAATTCATAGAGCAGATGGTATGAAAAAGGTAAAAAAAAAAAAAAAAATACAAAGATTTCGTTTTGGATACTATAAATAAGATGAATGAAGAAGCAGCTGTCGAGATTTTTTGATGTGGCGACAAATGTCGTGACATTTTAGCTATTTTTTTTTTTTCTTTTCAACATATATATTTGTATAAATCACAATCATTGTTGTCTATCATTTTATTTTAGATTCTTTTCTTGTCATTAATTGAAGGAAAAATTTTAAATCAAACAATAAATTAAAGATGACATGTTTGTTAATTAATTATGTGCATATGGTATCATCTTAAAAATGATAACATTCATTGTCTTCTCATCAAATAAAGGTATTGTTTGACGTAGCATGACATTAATTAATTACACTGAATAAACAAGTATTTCCCTATTTTTCTGAGGTAAATTTTTATATTTTATAAAATTGTCACAATTGTTGAATTTTTGAATGCCCTATCGTCTCATCGATGTGACGAAGGAGAAGACAAGAGGGAAATTTGAAAACAGTAAAACCGGTTTTTAATTTATATGATTAGTCTGGAATTGGTCTATGTGTACGTCTATATGTCTGCAAATCACATTTGACGTCAACGAATGTCACAAAAATGCTTTAAAAAAAAAAAGAAAGAAAGGAAACAAAGAGCAATTAAAATGAACGCTGATTTAAAACTTATTTCGATAAAAGTTAAACTAATTATTGGATGTTTTTAATTTTTGTTCTATTCTTATCGTTATTATTCTATTCTATACTATTGAAAACTCTATTCTATACTTTTTTTTTCTTGCAAATTTGTCACTTTTTCTATTCCATAATTTTGTCATTTAATTTATGCAAGATTTGTTTCCTAGTTATTACACCAATTGTCAAGCATATAGTCAAAAACGATCCATCATATATCGTCAAACATCTGGCAAACAATTCAATAGAAATTTTATTTTCTAATTTAAACCAATGATTACATCTTTGATCCTAATGGGAAATCTAATTTTTTTTTTAATTGAAAAAATGAAATTACAATTTAATTCATTTCTAGCAATTTTAAATGTTTTTATTTCTTATTTTAAAGTTTTGCAAAGTATTTACGCCAAAAAAAAAATGGATGCAAAATAATGACCATATAAAACAAATGTAAATAGTATATTTCAAATAATCTTTAACCTTTAATCTTATTAATTGATTAAATTTAAAAAAAGAAATTAAAACTTACATTATCATGTCTAAAACTGGATAGCATACGAATTTCTCTAAAGACACGTTTGCATGATGCAAGATTCTGGAAAACATTTGGCATTTTCTTCAGCGCTACACGTTTACCACTACGTGGATCTGTTACTGACCTTTAAAATAAAAGAAGAAGAAATAAAATAAAATATTTTAAATTATTAGAATATAAAATTTTAAAATTATTTGATAACTGTCAAAATTTTAAAACTAATAGAATATGAAATATTAAAATTATTTGAAAATATTAAAATTAAATATTTTGTGTGAATTGATTGTTGCAATTTTATATGTTTATCATTGATTAATACATGAAATAGGCTTACAGTAAGTTATATTTTAATTAGTAATTTTAATATCATTAGTTATACTATTCTTATGTTAATTTAGGATTGATAATTGTTAAAATTATGCAAAATGTAGGCTTTGTTTTTTTTTTTTCATCAATCAGGTAAATAGCAGAATTGAATAATGAAATGGAATTTAGTGTAATCCAAACATTTTCAATTTCTCTACCAAATTTGGTCATTATTTTGACCATTAGTGAATTGAAATAAGAAATTGAAAAATGCAAACCAGACGACACCAAAAGCGCCATAACCAATTGGACGATCGGGTTGTGTATCATGTTGTTCCATATTTGGTGGACGATAAAATGGTTGTACAGCTGTTAGGATTGCTTGACTTGAATGTGCCACTGAGGGCTAAAAATTTTAAACTTTTTAATTTAACAAATAGAATTTATTTTAAGTCAAACAAAATTTGTAATGAAAATTTTAATTTAAAAAAAAAATTTCCAAAAAAAAAAGTGAAAAATGTAAACAAAATTTTCACATATTTCCTCATTAATGAAATTTATTTTTTTAAAAAAGCCAAAAAGAAAAAGAGATTTCAACCAATAATTTCAGTTGGAAATTAATAATTTAAATTTGAAATTTTCGAAATAAATTCATTAAATTCGAAAATCTTTCCCTATAATATAATATATACAGATATCTGATGTTATTCTTTGATATTGAATAAATGTCAACTTAAATTAATTTTAAAAACCATAAATGTCACATAATCTAAATTTATTAAATTGTAAGTTCTAAAAATTCTAAAGTCCAATTTTAAAATCCCACAAATTAAATGCCAATCATTAATTAAAACTTCAATTCCTCAATTCCTTTTCTTAGCATTTTTAGTTTCACTTCTTTTTTTTTTCCCATTCAGATATCAAAAAAAATGAACAAAATGAATAAGCAAGTAAAGGATGAATTTAAAAAAGTAATCACAATAATAGTTTTTAAATTTAATGCGCAAATTGGATCAATAAAAGCGCCTAAATTATTCCTAAAACTTTCTAAAAAGTAATGAATGAAATTGGATAAGTTAGGAGGGAAGAAAAAAGGAAAAAGAATTTTTAGAAATTTTAAAATTTCTTCATCCAATTCAAACATATAAGTAAGTGAAATAATAGAATTCTAATAACCAAACATATACACTCCAAAAAAAAAAAA